CCTCAACTTTCTGTGTAAAAAATATAAATATACAAATGTAATGAAATATTTTACGCGTTGTCTTGAAAATAACAATCGTCGAAGCCATGGAAGTTTTCGGGGTGATTTATTTGATTTTTTTTTTTTTCCTGCGTGTTTTTCTTCTCTCCTCTCTCTCCTCTCCTAGCTCTACAACAACGTCACGGTAAAAAAAAAAAAAATTACAAAGATTATGTTTTCTTGTATTTAATTGAAAAAAATTATGTTTCCAATCCTTTAACTCTTAACTAAATTCCTCAACTATGATTTGTTTGACTTAATTTTTTAATTTTAATTTACTTATAACTCAGTTTTTATTTTTTAAATTTTTTAAAAAATTATTCTTATCAAATAAGAGGGATAAAAAAAATGCTCATGTCTTACTCTAAACTACCATATCTTGTTTTTTGATGTGAGATTTAAGTCAACATAAAAAAAACTAACAAAAATTGAGGGATTGAGTTATAAGCAAATCAAAAGTTAAGAAATTGAATTATAACTAATCATTATTAAGAGACTATGTTATAAATGAGTTAAAAATAAAGCATAAAAAATTAATTTTTTTATTTAATTTAATGATAAAAGATGAATCAATGCAGCCTTGGTTATCAGAGTAAAATACTGTGACCTCTCTATTTCACCTCTATTATAATTACTTTTCTTCTATCCTTGAAATATATAAATATCTCCTAGTATGAAAGTAACAAAACCCAACCATTCTCTCTATTTTTAATATTTTATTTTCATTCACCAAAACTTTAGTTGACCATTAAATCATATATATTTAGTCAAAATATTTTTTTTAAAATATATATATCCCAAAAATTATTCAAATTATCCAAAAAAGTTGATGTATATTTTGTTATTTTTTCATTTATGTTTTATTTTTTTATTATGTAAATGTATTTATTTAGAATTGTTAAAAAAAATAAATAATTAAATTGACTAAATAATATTCAGATTCAAAAAAATTTAATATTCTGATCACAATATTTATAAAATAATAATTTGATATAATCAATTAATCAATTTAATTTATGTTTAGTTTTTAATTTCATTAATTTCAACACAAAAATTTTAAATTATTTATTTAAATATTGAAAATCTCAATTATTTAAAGTTTTTTTTTAATTGGAAGAGAGAGTAAACAATTAGTTCATAAGGAAAAATTAGTAGTTTTAAAATTTTTAACATAATTACAAATAGTATAGATATTTTAGAATTTGTAATGAAATATTTTTTTAATAGCGTTGAAGACTGGATAAAATTAGTTTTTGAAAATAGAGGAGAGCTTTCTATCATTTAACAAAATGGAAGAGAGATCAATTATTTTACTCTAATTATTATTAAATTGTCCTATTTACTAAAATGGAAGAGAGATCAATTATTTCACTCTAATTATTATTAAATTGTCCTATTTACTTATTATTTAAATTAAATTGATTTTTAGTGTGATATTCAAGGAGATGATATTGTTTCATTTAAATACTAGATAGAAGGACCACATTACTGTAATAGATCAACTTCACAAAACTCATTGCTTCAGATTTCCGGCCCGTTGTGAGACAGACAGACAAGACGAGACAAATTGAGCTTTAATACAAAAGATTATCATTGATTAATTTCTGAAGCTCCGGTTGGTTTTATATAATAGTCCAAATGGAACAGCTTTTGCAGAGCAGAGGCAAGTAACAAAGATTCTTCAGACATAATTCAACTTCTAGTGATTATATTTTGTCTTGATTCCCATCAGTCACCACCCTCACAAAGCAATGGAAAATTATGTTGTTTTATGTTATTTTTATGGGTATTATCTACGTAACCACGTTATTAGTATGCTTAATCCGAATGAAATATTGAATTTTCTAAATTTAAAATACATTATCAGTTTTGATGCTAAATAAATGATATCAAATCAAATTATAAAGGGTTGAGGTCATATTTTAATTAAAACTCAATATATTAGTATTGTTTTAAAAATGATTTTTTTTTTTCTTAGTCAGGAGCTAGTTAAATATTATTTCAATTATATCTATAAGGTACTTTCAATATATTTTATTATAATTAAAAAAATTAAAACTCATTAACTCTATCAAAAAATTCAATAAATTTTTAAATTTACCCCTAAAACATATGTTTTCATAACATAATTTCTCTCACTATCTTTTTAATGCAAGGTAAAAAGGAAAACGTATGATAAAAGATTAATTATATAGCTTATAAATGGGATAAAAAGTTAAAAAATTAATCATTTAATATTTATAATTTTGATTTGATTGTAAATTAGTCCTTAAATTTTAACTCATCGTAATTCAAAAATTTTGATTCAATTGTTACTCTCAATTCTTAAATTTTAACTTTTATAATTCCATCCTTATATTTATAATTATTTAAATATTAGTGATCATATTTTAAAAAATAAAATTTTAAATTTTAAAATTATGTTAAAATTCATGACCAATATTTTAAAGGAAAAGAAAATTTTTTATCTTTATAGTTTCATTGAGTTTTTGTTTTTAATCCATATGGTTTTTGTTTTAGTATTTTCAATTTCTATAATTTTAGAAAGATTAGGCGATTTTTTTTTTCAAGTTCTTATAATTTTTAATTTTTTAGTGATTTTAATCTTTATTGAAACTGAAAGCACTTAAAAAAATTATAGAAATTAAAAGTAAAATTGACGAAATTATAAGGATTGAAGATTATGTTTTTTCTATTTTAAATTACTAAACCTTTTTAATCTTTGTAAAGAATATAAATATCAAAATTTAAAATATTTTTATATTTACAATTTTATTTTTTTAAATATAATTATCAATGTTTAAATGATTAAAATTATAGGAATTAAGTTGTGAGAGATAAAATTTAAGAATTAAGTTATAACTAAGTTAAAATTATAAAAATTAAATTATATTAAACAAAAATTATAAGAATTAAATAATTAATTTTTTTAAAAAATAATTTCTCCCTGCCCCTCATAAATAAGATTAGAAGTAGCATGCACTCATACATGCTTCGATCATCCAATCTTGACCGTCCATTTCAAAATTCACGCTAGCAAGATCCAGGGGGAAATCGCATAAATTGAAGTGGACGTGGAAAAGTGTCTAATTTAAAATTTCCCAATATATATAACCAGAAGGAAAAGTGAGGAAAAGACAGAGTTGACCAAGTCAACTGGGTCATTATTGTCGGAGAAAGAGCTGGACGAATGTGGACCACTCATGCTGGGCAATCCAGAATTCACCCCCAAGTTTTCAAAGCTTCTCTTTGTTTTTACAAAAAATAATAATAATTTTTTAAAAATTATATAAATAATAATTTCATCCTTCAAAATATTATAATATTAATAAAATTTTTAAAAATTATTCTATCATTAAAAAATTAATATAAATAATTAAATTATTTTTAATTAAAATATTCATTATTATAACACTAGAAAATTATTATTAATTATCATTCACTAATTTTATTTTAATATTCACAAATTTTTTTTTAAATTAAAAAAATACAATAACGATTCATAAGTTTAAATTTGAATTCTTGAATTAAGAATAATTTGATCATTTGTATTAATTCTTTAATAAAAAAAAGTCTCAAAAAATTTTAAGAAAATTATGATATTTTGAGAGATCAAAATATCATTTATATAATTTAAAAAATTTTACTATCATTTTTTTATTTTTCTTTACAGGAGCCGTTTGGTTTAAATTATGTTTTTTTAATGTATAAAATATTTCAAACACAACACACAAAAATAATTACATATCAGTAGCTTCTAAATAATCAGCCAGAAAAGATAAAGGAACAAAACCATTGTAAGGACCCATAATAATATGAAATCCTTAGCATTGTCTTACTCGTTTGCAAAATTTTCAAATTTTTGGCAAAAAAATAAAATACAACCTTTTAAGTTGTAAAAAGTAAATTAAACTTGAATGTTATTTATTATCCGAAAAAAAAATTTAAATTACCATTCCAATAAGAGGGATGTGAGATCTGAGAGGTTGGAATCTCGTTGGAAAGGGTTGAATTATGATAATGAAAAATATAAAATGCTAAGTATGAAATTCAAATCACGTAAATTAAATTCAGACGACTAAACTAATTTAATTAAAAAGAACACACTCTAATCTCCTTAGTGAGATGATTAATGTGTAAACATAATGTATAAACAAACACAAGACCCTGACCCAAAATCCTCAGCATACACAAACCATAATTTCACAATAACAACAATTGTCGAATTAAGTACGTACAATCTAATCAATCATCATGAAACGAAACCTTATATTAATCCTCCTCCTTCACCCGCACGACCTCGCAATGCATCACCACCACCACCACCACCACCATTTTCGTCATTTGCAAATAAAGAATAAACCTTTTTATTGCTTCATTTCATGGAGTTTCTTCAAACATGCATTGCTGCTTCCTTGGAAACATGCGTGTCTCTCTCACTTCTATCGTCCACCACATGCCCCGCAGCTTCAGCTCCTCCGACATCACTAACATTCCCGAAAAGCAGAACAGCTATGCCCGCCATTGCAGCACAGAATGCAGCTCCGAACGATGCGCGAATCTGACCTGGAACGCTCGACCCGACTGCAAATCCTACGCACAACCCAACGGCCCTGATCCAAGCGAACCAGATTGAAAACGCTCCTTCTTTCCCTGATGGCGCACAGTCTAGAACCAGGGCTCTTCCAAATGCATAAAGGATTCCATTTGATGTGCTCTGTATGGCTCCAAATAGCAGAAGGTGCCTCCATTTCCAGTGAGAATCAGAGAAATAGAAAGCGAACCCAGAAGATAGGATTGAGAGGAGGAATCCCAGGATTTGCATTTTCACTGAACTGGCCTTGATTATTTGTTGAAGAGGTTGAAGTAGAGGCATAGAAACCAGAGGGAAGCAGAAGTACATCAACCAGAAAGCAAGCAAGTGAAGTGGTTTGATGCAGAGATCACCAACAACGAAGATGACTCCTGAGATGAAGATGCACATGGTGGTGAATGAAGACAGGAAGACACTGACAATGGCTCCGATCCCTTGAGGGTATTTAAAAATGGAAAAAGGATGGAACTTTGACGAGATCGAGATCATGGAATCTGAGGTTCTGTTAATGGCTGTGATAGCATGGATTATCCCCACAAGCCATATGAGGCCACTGAAGATGGATACTACCCATAGGCTTATGAACTCATGGTCTTTAGGTTCCCGGAGCATGTGATAAGTGAAGGCCGCGATGATGGCGGCACCAAAGCTGCCAGCTGCGGTGGCGCAGAGGGAGAGCCAGCCGGAGACTCCTTGTCTAATGTGAAATTCCGTTTTCTTAAGGGAAGGTCCGGTGAAGGCACGGATCATGTGGCCAAGGTGGTGGGTGTGAGAGGCAATGGCAACTGTGCTTGCAGCTACAATGAATGCAATGTAAGGGATGAAGATCTTGGTGACCTTGAAGAATCCCGCCGGGAGACAGAAGAAAACACCGACGCCGGTGGCAGCTGCTGTGATGAGCGCCGGAAAATGACCATCAAGATGGAAGGAGAGGAAGCCCAGAATTGGAGCAGCCAGTGCCAGACCTGTAGCCCAACCTATTGACGTCCACTCCAATGACGAGAATCTTGAACCACTCGTCCTTATGGTTTTCAGTGTGAGCTTACTATAACTGCAATGAACACACAAAACACAACATATATATACACATCTAATTCCAAACTTTCATAGTACTAATGCTACTACTATTCAAATAGAAACTTTCAAAAGATTATGTTAAAGAATCTGGACATGATATTCTAATCACGGAGTGAGTTTTACTTTTCTAAGGGATCCGTCAATAAATCTTATAGCCAACACCTATGATACTAGTTCTACCTAAGAGTATAGCTGAATTTACGTTGTAATTCGTAAACAATGAAAAATTAGAGTAAAATATTTGTGAAACGGTTAGTTTGCAGAAGGAAAACAAATAATAATACAGAGGGACCGTTTCATTCACGTTGTCAGTTCTATAACTCTTCTGTTTAAGCTCACTCACTGTAAAATATTATTCAAATGTGATAACTGCAATTAATGGATAGTTAAATAACCCAACGTCTTACTTATCTCAAGCGTAAAAAAAATTTCAAATGTGGTGACTTTTGAGTCCGAATCCGACAGACATGTTGAAACTTCCTAGGAAGACCTTTTTTCTTCGTTTTTGTTTTTTGCCCTCTTGGTGGTGGCTAAGGACACACGAGATAGCATAGCTTGTATGCACATCAAAGAGAGAATGGTTAATAAATGTGGTGGAAGTTCGATGCAAGTGCGTGAGGTTACCGATTCTATCTTGAAAAAGGAATCTTTAATTGTGGAGTATAGTGGGAGTGAAGTATGAAAAGGAGATGGCCGCAACACCCCAGAAAAAACAAGCAACTATATATATATATATATATATATGAAAAAGAGAAAAGAAAGGGAAAAGAAAAACACTGCTTTTGATGATTGCGAACCATGATGGAACCCTATGCACGGTTCTCACGCCTCTCAGACTTCAAATTCGAAAACTTTCCTTTCTTCTGCTCTGAGAGAAACAATACACGTTTCCTCTGAAACCCTTTTGAAATTTTTGAAGCACTATTCATGCATTTGTCTGAAATTTCTCAGATGCAAGAGAAGCAAGACAAAACAAACCAAAAAAAAGAAGAAGCACATTTCGCCAAAAAAACAAAAGAGGAAGAAAGAAAGAAAAAAAAATTAAGAACAAGGGGGGAAATTTCGGTCAAATTTTCCAAATCTAGAGAGAAAAATCAACTTACAGAGTGATCTCCTTGTCGGAGCAGGAGAATCCAGGGTGGCTCTTGGTCCAATCTGAAGCAGAGTTTGGAGGAAGCTGCTGAAGCTGGCTGATAATGAGAGGGAAAACGACTGGAATGAGAACGGTCTGAACAAAATAGGAGCAAAACTCGTACAAATACCAGGCGAGAAGTTCGAGTTTGGACGGCTTTTCTTGTTCTTGATCGTAGCCATTATAAGATTCCCTGGCTCTCAGAATCTTCAAGGCCGTATTGTGCATGTCCGGCGACGAAGAACCCATACCGCGTTTTCCTCTGGCGTTTCCTTCATGAGGCACACTTCGCTTCGAAGTGTCCTTAGACCCTTCAGCCTCAACAGTGACTTCCTTCATCTGGAAAAACAGAAACTAGGTTCTTCGCTCTTCTGATCTTTCCTCTGTGAGGCACAGAAGAAGTGAGCTAAATGGCGAGCGAGGAAGATGGAGAGGGATGTGTTTAAGAAACGTTGAGAGAGAGAGAGAGAGAGAGAGAGAGAGAGAGGCTCTTCAGAAATCACAGCTGGGTTAACGAAGGTTTCAACTTTCAAGGGACTGAAAGGGCCTTGTTATTAATTGCAAGGCATTTGGGCATAATTCTCTCTTTGCCTCACTCGCTCTCAGTCTCTCTGCGCTTTTTTGGGTTTTTAATATTACGGTGAGGTTGAGGAAAAGGATTCATTGATACATATCTCATGTACGGGACCCTCCACGTGAAATTTATATTTCACTGTTACCACGGTTAGTTGGTTAAAATGATTCCTGCTTTTTCTTTAAAATATATATATATATATATATATATAATCTCAAGTTCTACCTTACCCAAAAGAAGAAAGGGTTAAATAAATTTTCCTCGTTAAATCACTTTTTATAAAAACAAAAGTCCCCTCCCCATTGAAAAATAATTTTAAAAAAAAATATCTCACTCATTAATATAAAAATATCTAATACTCTTAAAAAAATAAAAATAATAATACACTTTAATCTTTAAAAGAACATATGACCAACAAAATTGAATCTAATAGAATAGTTGGTGGGTCACTCACCTCCCAACATAATGAGTAGAGGTTGGACATTCTATTTTAAAAAATAGAACTCGTAATTTAAGCAAAGCTAAATAGATGAAGTCAAACAAATTCAAAAAATTTTAAAGTCGAACAAAAAAGTTTATAACTTTTTTTTTATTTTAATCTTATTCGAGACAGTTAGATAAATTAAAAAGATTTTGAGTCAAACACAAATCAGAATTAACAAAGCACAAATATTCAAATTTTTTATTATTAAAATAAGTCAAAAAATTGAAATTAGCTAAAAAGAAAAATAAAATAAAATGATATTTAACTATTTGATTATTTGAACTAGCCCGAATAATCTCAAAAGCTTGAGGTGTTAGAATTGAGCTTAATTATATAAACTTTTTTATATATTCAAATATTTTAAATTTGATTTGAATAACCTTAGTCTGCTCAAATTATTAGACTCTATATTTAAAAAAAAATCTCATGATTGTGTTTAGCATTTAATCATGTAATGGGAATTGGATATGGAAGTGGTTAGTCCATTACAATGTGATGAATTAAAGTGCAAATCACCTTTAACACCTGACCATATATCAAATAAGATTTTTTTCAATATGAGGACGCTCATGATCAAAATAAAAGTAAAAATTTGAATATGGTTCGTTTTTCTAGTAAGAAACATATCTGATTTGATCGTGTTTCATGAAATATATTTTTTCAATATATTAAAAAGCATACTTTATCAGTAACAAAAACTACTATTCTCTAAGGTATTGTGGTAAAAAAGAAAAAAAGAAAAAGCAGAGATCCTTTTAAATTAGATTGCTACGGATAGAATGGGTGGATATATTTTTAATATATAAAAAATTTAATATGACTCATTTTGTAATTGATAAAATATATATTAATTAAGTTCTTCAAATTTATGCTTCGAGAAAAATAATAACGCAAGAAATACAGCACTATGCAGGAGTAATTTTTGTTTACTCAAAAATTATTAGTTTTATCTCTACTTACAAGTAAGTATTTATTCTTATGAACGTAAATTGTAAAGTAACTGAGGAAATGAAATGGAAATTTTATCCTGAAAGTTGAAATCATTATGCATCAACTAGCATGCATCATCATATTGATGTTAACGTACTAAATAATGAGAGGGTCAAAGATAACAGTGCTTTTGAATAGAATAAAGGGTGTGAGCTCTTTTTTCTTGCTTGGAGAGAAACTATGATAACGGAAAGATACGACATTTGAACTGAAAGGATACCAAGATGTTATTAAATTGTTTTGACAAAACATAATTTCACATTCTTATACTTTACTTACATTAGTTCTTACAATTTTTTTTATATATTTTAAATTTTTAAATTTTTATTTATTGTTATTTTAGGTATTTTTAAAGTTTCTATATTTTATTCATTAAAAAATTTTATAATAAAAAATAAAAATATAGAAATTAAAAATGTTGAAAAAAGTGTAGAAATTAATAGCAAAATACAAAAATTTAAAGTTATGTTTTTTCAATTATTTTTGAACAAATAACAAATTACTAAAATGAACAATACCTAATTTCCTATCATTTTATCTTTCAAATCAAAAGGCAATATTAAAAAATAAGTGTAATTTTAATTCATGAAATATATAGAGCAGCATGCAGCAAGCAACTTATATATTACTCCTTATGTTTAAAAATATAAAATATTTTTAATTAAATCTCACCTCTCAATAAAATAGTTACCTACTTTCAAACTAATCATATTTTTTTATATTTATCCCTATTAAATATATTACAATAAATATAAAGTCATTCACCAATAGGGTACTTTTAAAAAAAATATAATAATTACACTTCAAAACATTTAAAAATATTTTATATTTTTAAACATTTGACTTTTTAAAAAATATCTTAAATTTTTAAATGAAAAGAGAGTCAAATATAAATATATATATATATATATATATATTAACTTTTAAAGAAGCAGTGAAATTGAACCAATCGAGATTTAAGTACAATTTTCAAGTCATGCACAAGTAATATTAATTAGCCCTTGGGGACCTCTCGATATAACTTTTCCCGATCAATATTTATTCTTCGGAAATAGCCAGCTAATTTCACGGAATCCATCCACCTGTTTAGCTAAATCTTCCCTCATAACACTTGTTTGATTGATTTTTACAGTTAATCAATTGATTGTTTCTTGAGTTACTTCTCGGGCTTTTTATAATAAGCTATATATTCTCAACAAAATATAGGCATAATAATATATGATGATGATGAAACGCAATAACGCTCTGGAAAGGAACAAAGGATAAGAGTTATTTCATGCTTTCAAAATGCGTTTAAAATTGACGAGAAAAATAATCATATATTTTGTATATATAATTTTAATTTTTATTTAATTGTAATTTAATCTTTAAAATTTAACTCATTATAATTTGATATTTATAATTTTGACTCAATTTTGAAACTTTAATTTAGTATAACTCAATTCTTATAGTTTTAACTATTTAAAATATTAACCTGTATATTTTAAAAATAAAATTATAAATGCTAAAGTTATTTTGAAAATTAGAAACTAATATTTTAAATTTATAAAAATTTAGGAACCATTGTCATAAATTAAGGTTAAGGGATTAAATTGCACCTAAGTTAAGATTATAAAAACTAGATAACGAGAATCAAAGAGAGACCAAATGATTTTTTTTTTTAAAAAAAAAAAAGAGGTACTTTTATATATGCCGACAGTTTAACATATATTAAATAATTAATTAAATAATACTAATTCTAGACGTACCTGTCGAAATTTCCGAGAGGCTAACGCACGTAACGGTGAAAATATCCGTTCAGAGCATAACAGTTTGCTTCGGAGAGGCCAGTAGGAACATCAATTGTGATAGGTGAATAAAATACTCGTAATAGACGACAAGTGTTTAAAATATTATATTATTGTTTATGATTCCGTCTGTGTCTTCATATAAATATTTATATGTTTATGTCTCCTTGATGTTGTAAAGTAGTGTTATGGGTTCATCTATATATATATATATATATATTGTTCGATGAGATTTTTTAAAGCCAGTTGATGCGAGACAATTGTTTGTACGTGCGTTATTTGCAACACTGGGTGCTCAACCATAGGCTTGTTTTGCTCCAAATTAAATCACACTTGGTTTAGGCAATACATTGTATAACATACTTTGTTGTCTGGCTAGTTCGTGAAAAGTTCGTAGGCAAATCTAGAATCCAGGTTCACAAACACATCGTCACAACGAATAGCTGTGTGAATGAGAAGTAAATACTAAATAGTATGAACCTTTTAAAATAAAAAATATATATATATAAATTGAAATTTTAAAAAAATTAGAACGTCTAGATGTAATCTAAATTATCCATGTCCAACATGTGTCCGTGTTAATTAGTAACTTGTGAGATGGCAGTAAACGATAACTTTGAGGTTTTAAGCTCAGCAACGGACTCTTTTTTCTAAAATGAAAAAAAGAAAAAAGAAAGGAAGAATTACAATCAAAGATCACTAAAAAAAAAATTAATCACAAACAAGAATCAATGTGAAATAGATTATTATTAAAATTAGAATGTGACTTGTGTTTTCTTACTATTAATTCTTATTTATAAATAATTTTTTTGAATTATCATTAAATATAATTTTTTAAAAAATGCATATCAATATGGATCTTACAGGTTATTTATTACACGATGATAACAAAATTATAAATATTATATACTCTGTATTTTATGTGACTAAGGAAGGATGCGAGTATAATGATGATTAGATTGGCCACCAATTATTTCTTATGTTCTTGCTAATGACTAATTGTCCTAATAATAATATTACCATTTTTGTTAGAAGAGATCCTAAGTTAAACCCAACATTAACATGTATTGTATATAGATATATAGGTGTGCGTGTCTCCCTTTCTTGTGTGAAAATACTAGGTTAACAGTAAAATTTTTATTAAAAAAATGTATTTTACTATCTTTCAAGTAAGATCGGATACATTAAGAAAAGAGATAATATAATCATTGATCCCCATAGTTTTATTAAATTTTATTTTTGGTTTGCATAGCCACACAATCATTGAGGTGGACAAATAAACCCCTCATTTTGAAAAAAAATTACAAATAAGGTATGCAAATTTTGCAACTTTTACCCTATACTCTTAATATTTTCTGCTATTTGAACTAAATAAAAAATTATTTGGACACAAAATCTTATTTTACATGTAATATTTTAATAATCAAGATAAAATATGAAGAACATATTTACATAAAAAACTATATTAACATATTCAATGTAATTTTTCAAAAGAAAAAATGATTATCAATCCACTTTTGTTGTTTTAGTTATAGTATAATTATTATTTAAAAAGTATTAAATTATCTCGCACTTCCTAATCCTGATTCTATCACTGATAGCAACAATTAAATTCTTGATAGGTATGCCCTTCGAAAGAGTGCTAGCAAGCTGCCAACCAAATTAGCCTAGATTAAATATATGAGGTACTCAAATGAAGCAGCAAAAAATAAAATTACTGTTATATTACGCTTGAATGATTTGCTGTAAATGTTATCTCCTCATGCTTTA